CTATCTATCTATCTATCTATCTATCTATCTATCTATCTATCTATCTAATCTATTTTAAAGTTCACTTTGTAGATCCACCTACTCTCTAAGTTTCCCAATGAGTACGAAAAGAGTATCATTAATGTCTGTATTTGGCTCATAATGGTCTCTTTAAACTGTCTTTCACTCTAATACAGAGGAGGGTATTAACACTGCTCGTGTCTAAGTATGGATAGAAATTATTAGAACACCCCATTTAAAGAGTATATTTGCATTAATAGCCTGAGGAATAAGATTGATGCAGTTGCTGCCAGATTTTGTAGGCAAAAATGTAGAATCCAGTCTTTCCATTGTTGACAAAAAAATTCTAGTCGCTGTCACTGAGGAGACTTAATCTTATAATGCAACGATTTTAGATTGGAGAGAGAAGCAAACAACCTCTTCGCCTTTTTCAGAAGTATCAATTCTTTCGCATAGGCATGTTTGGGCTTGTCATTCCTCTCTGCTTTCCTCCGATGAGCTTCCACTCTGGAGCTGACTTCCAAGGAAGAACCTCCCAAGAATCCATCTATTTCGTGGCAAGTAGAAAGTTGGGAACTGGTTGCGGCGGTTGTAGTTTGGAAGGAGGAAAGGTCCATTAGGAAAGCGCGGGTAGAAGCCGGGTCTTCTTTGGGGAAAATAAAACCAAGTAACTACAGGTGTCCTTGTGCTGGGCTGAGCCCTTGTTACCGGATTCCTGGTGGCGGGTGGAGGGGTGAGTGTGAAGATCTGGCAGTCTGTAGGGTTCCCGTTATTTTGTGATCTGCCAGGAGGGATGACCACATCTCGTCCTGTGGAAATGAAAATGTAGATCAGGACATGGGCCAGGCAACAGAAACAGAGAAAGTTAGATCCCTCAGGGTGAGGGCTGGAGAGATAAGAATAAAATGAAGACATTTTAAAGCATGACTGAATGAAGTGCAGTGGGATAAGGAACTAAAGCATGAATATACCCAGTGATCCACATTTACGACTGGGGAGCTGACCCAAAAGAAATAAATGCAAACCCAAAACTATTAGTTCAGGAATGTTCATAGCAGCCCTAAACAATCCAAGAGCCCATCAATAGGAGAATAGCTAAATAAACCATGTGCGGATATTCACACAATGAAACAGTCGTCAGAAGTGAGAAGCAAGAACAGCCAATACCTAGAAATCCAGACGAAGCCATGTTATGTTGAACAAGGGAAATTAGATACAGAAAGGTATTGTAAGAGTCTGTTTAAATGAAGTTTATGATAAAGAACATGAAGGTAAGGTTAAAAATAAATCAGGCCAGTATTAAATTGAGGGTTAGCACAAATGTCATTTCATGGAGTAATTAACCAAGAAATGCTTCAGCAATGTTCTATACCTTGATAGTGGTAGTTATTAAGTATATTTGGATATATGAAATATACACACATGTATACCAATACAAAGTTGAGGGGTTTTTTTTGTGTATGATTTATAACAAAATAAAACTCACTGAAATAATACAGAATTTATTTACTCTTAAAAAATAAAAATAAAGCTTGGCTTGGTGGCTCATGCCTTTGATCCCAGCACTCAGGGTGGCTGAGTCAGGAGGATTGATGTGAATTCAAGGCCAACCTGGTCAACAAAGTGAGTCCAGGACAGCCAGGGCTACATAGAGAACCCTGGCTTGAAAAAAAGTCAAGAAAGAGAGAGAGAGAGAGAGAGAGAGAGAAAGAAAGAAAGAAAGAAAGAAAGAAAGAAAGAAAGAAAGAAAGA